CTGTCCTCCACTCTCCACTGTGCACTGAGAATGACAGCAGCGGACAGGGCTGGGAGAGAGGGACCTATTCGTGGTCTACCTGTCACCTGCCTGCGGGTCGACATGTAGACTGCGATAGTCAGGTTGCCGACCTCAGCTCTAGAGAGAACCAGTCCACTTTGAGTAAAAATGCACGCTTCGTCCTTTCCCTTTTATTTAGAAAGCTTCTCAATCATCTCTTCTAGCAGCGAAATAAAATGACACGTGTCCTTTGTGCATAAAAACACAAAGGAAATAGATGTACTACAATTTGTGACTTTTTGGTGAAAGTAAAATATTACTTTGAAATAGTTTATCCTGTTGCTGTTTTTTTTTTTTTTTTTGGAGAACCCTCTGTCAGTTCCTCTCACTGGTTATGTGGGGAAACAGTTTAGAGGTCCCAAACACCTCCTATGGACTCCGATCTATAGTTCTGCAATCAGCTAAGCTCCTACTCCCTATCAATTGGAGAGCTATTAATTTGACGTGACAGGGGACATGTTAGATCTATGTACAGAGGTAGCTGCTTCCCAACAAAGAGCAAGAATCCTATGTTGCAGCATCCTGGCAAAACACAGACATATCTACTCAGACTGTGGCTGCCTATTAAAGAAAACAAGCTGTTGCACTTTGTACATCTTTTGTTTTGATACACTTGGAATATTTTTAGCTAATATACAGGCAGTCCCTGGGTTATGAACAAACTAGGCTCTGTAGGTTCCTAAAGTGGTTAAGGCATTCTATGCATGAAGGTAAAAAACCTTTTGTGTGCAGCAGTGCCCCCCAGCCCCCTCAATACTCACCTGAGCCTCACCACGATGTGAACTGCCTCAGCTGTCCCGGGTCTCTGCCTCCTCATTGTCTGAGACAGCAAGCGGGAGCCATTGGCTCCTGCTGCTGTCAATCACAGCCAGTCTGCCATTGAGGGGGGAGAGGGTACAGGGCCAAGCCACGGCTCCATGTGTGAATGGACACACAGAGCAGAGGGTGCCCCCATAGCAATTTGCTTGCTGTGGGGGCACCTGACAGGAGGGAGGGGCCAGGAAAGTTTGCAGGAGACCCAAGAAGAGGAGGATCCAGGCTGCTCTGTGCAAAACCACTGCATACAGTAGGTAAGTATAGCATGTTTGTTATTCCCCCCTCGAAAAAAAAAACCCATAATGAACCTTTTAGAATAGCTTTAAGTTGGAACAGGTACATTTTTTAAGTGTAACTCCAGCCATAAAATTAAGTTTTTGGATAGCATAGGGAAGGGTTAATTGGCCATGCAATGATGTGGGAATGCTGAGAGGTTCGCTGGACAGGATGTGGCAGTGTGCTGTGAGCAGCAAGATGGCCTGACTTGCCTCCGTTCTTAAGTATGAGTCATATGTAAGTCGGATGTTTGTAACTCGGACTACTTGTATATTGAAAATTCAGCTGTGCTTTAAAATTATATGGCAGAGCATCCCTGAGTTTATTCTATTATTACAGAGGAACTACAGGAATTTTTGTTTTTTCCAATCTTAGATCAGCCTCTTATGGCTCCATATCTGATATCTGTAGGATCACTGTAGTAGTCTGCTCTACATACAGCCCCAATTCCCCAAAAATTGAGAAATGTACCTTTTTAAGGCAAAAAATATGATCATTTTAAAATTGCTGGCCACAACACATTTCAGTTGGGACAGGGCATCCAAAAGCTGGTAAGTGGTACTTACAAGGAAGAGCTGGAAGAACAATTTGCAAATAAGTTATTTGGCAACAGGTTAGTAACATGATTGGGCAAAAAAGAGCATCTTAAGAGAGTCAGTGTTTCAGAAGTAAACATGGGAAGAGGTTCACCAATCTGTGAAAAGCTGCCTCTAAAGTTTGTTGAACATTTTCAGAATAATGTTCAATGTAAAATTGCAAAGACTTTAAATATACAATATCATGATCTACAGTACATAATATCAAAAAATTCTGAGAATATTGAGAAATCCGTGTGCAATGGACAAGGCTGAAAGATGATATTGGATGCCTGTGATCTTCGGACCCTCAGATGGCACTGCGTTAAAAATTGTACCTGGAAAGTGAGGTACTTGTACCTGATTTTTGCCTGCACATGCTGTCCAGCCGCAGCATATGTACTGCAGCTGGTCTGAAAGCAGTTCTAAAGCCAAACTGTTTTTACCTTAATGTATTCTCTGCGTTATGGTGCTGTCCTCATCCCCCCCACCATCACCACCACCACCATCTTCCTAAATATTTAAATCAGTAAATCCATTGCTGTGCACGGCTGCATCTTTTCTCTCCCCTCTCCTCCTCTTTTCACATGGACTCTGACCATTGACTTCTGCTGCAGTCATTCAAATGCTGTGGGAAGCAATCGGGTGTGGGGCCAATCTGCACTCTGTGTGTCGCACACCGCTTGGGAGCAAGCACGCATGTGCACCCCATATCAAGTGGATTGCTATGGGGGAAGAAGCACACAGGTTGCCAGCAGGGAACCTGAGGAGTTCCGGCCCCTCTGTGCAATACCATTGTAAAGAGCGCTTGTTTGCTCGTTTGCTTGGTATATTTATTTATTTCAGGTACTTATATAGTGCCTTCAATTTGCGCAGTGCTTTACGTATATATATTGTACATTCACATCAGTCCCTAACCTAAGGGGCACACAATCTAAGGTCCCTTACGTAAATTCATATATACACATACTAGGTGTAAACATTGTTCTTACATTTCCAAGCCACAGAAAATGATTAAATCTTTTTCTTTACCTCCCTCTTAGCTATTTTTTTCTTATTTATAAATTAATATTACCAGGTAACCAGTCACTCAGTTGTTCATGAGGCAGTTTTTCTCTATATTTTCCAGTGCTAGCACACAGTGATTTGGGTGTGGTGGTTTTTTTTTTTTTTTATATATTTGATCAAGTGCAAGTCAAATATTCTAATCTCTTACATAAAAAAGATTGTTATACCAAGTGGTTCACAGATCTGGATTGGTGATGTAAATATCCAACGTCTGTATGTTTGTTCTGTAGAACAGTAATGACATTAACATGGACTGGACAACTAATGCAGTAAAAATGAGTAACAAAATGAACTGGACAAGTATGTAGCAAGAAAGAGTAATGGGAAATCATCTGTGTGTAGTAAGGTATGTTCACTAGAAAACAGAAGACTTGACCTTGTCGACCTCTGGCCAGCTTAAAAGACATTGTCAGCCCCTGAATTCTATTCTGCCCTTGCACTTTATTTTTGGGTCATCATACATGTTACAATCTGATTGTACAGTCAACTTTAGAGTTACTAAAACTATGTAATATAAGGATCTGCCCAATCTAATTTGTATTCAATCAGCAGAGCCCTTGTACTACTTAGCTGTTAGTACAATCTCCATTAGATCTGCCATCAGATCATTATGTATTTGAGCTTAAAGTGATTGTAAATACTAACTAAACATTTTTTACCTTAATGCAAGCAATGCAAGGGGAAAATGTTCAGGCATTATAACCACTTCAAAGGATAAGTTCACCTTTGGGAACATGTGACATGATTCACCTGTTTTTAGGGTCCCTACAGCATTGGGAATATGGGACCCTGTGGGGAACTTCACAGCGTGGCTCTGCTTCTGATAACGACACATATGGAAACTTTGAGAAGTTCTTCGCTTTGACCTGCAGCCTGTGTTTGCGGCTGGAGCCGGCGGCTTTACTTGTATATGCTTATACCTTCTTCGTGTCTTGCATGACACAGGGCAATGTGAGTGTACCTATGATGTTTTTTATGAATAGATTGTTTTACGCTATGAAGCCTTCCCTTCTGTTTTTTGACATGTTGACAAATGGTCTGGAACTGTGGGAACCTTGCAAGCCCATTAAGGAAGAGAGTGGATCTATTAACCCATTGTTGGCTGTTAAAGGATAAGTTCACCTTTGGGAACATGTAACGTTCCCATAGCCACAGCCGCCACCACACCCCCTCCCTCTGACAGTACGTGGAGAAGTCTCCCCGTACTATCTGACATATTTGAAAACGGCCTGGCCGTGCGGGGCTCCGTCCACACGGCTGCACCATTCATTCAAATGAACTGCAAGTCCTGACAGCCTTCGAACCTGTCGGCTTGTAGTGTTCAATTAACACGGTGTTTTGGAGCACCGTGGTAGTTCATTGAAGCTTCCTGTCAGTGTATCTGCTTGCTTGTACATTCCATATGGCAAGCAAATATTCTGACAGGTCTGCAGGAGACCTGCATGGCATCAGCGATCTACTGAGCGCTGGTGCAATGCTTTCCAGGCTCCTGTAGACAAAAATTAATAAATTTTTTTTTTTACCTGCAAAACAATTTGCATTTATTATTTTTCATCCAAAAGGTGAACATATCGTTTTAAAGATAGCATAGTGCTCCAACAAGATTGGAAGTGGATTGCATTGTATAGAGTCGAGTCCCCATTGGAAGATCTCCCCTCTATTCCTATTCTGGCAACAACCAAAAATTTGAGATTTAATTTTATTTTCACTCTTGGTGATAACAGCAAACAGGACAAATAGAGGGCGAATTTCCTTAATTGGGGCACAAACCGCAATAGAAACTTTATAAATGTGAAAAAATGCCAAAGTGCCAAAAATATAATAAATAATTATGCAGCTGCAGTCGCTAAACTCCACTGTGGAGTGTGCAAAGAAACAAATGTGTATGACAACGTTCAAAATTAAGTGTTTAACCACTAGCCTACAGGGCACTTATACCCCCTTCCTGCCCAGGCCAATTTCCATCTTTCAGTGCTGTCACACTTTGAATGACAATTGCGTGGTCATGCAACATTGTACGCATATGACATTTTTATCCTTTTTTTTTTTGAGACAGATAGATCTTTCTTTTGGTGGCGCTTAATCACCTCTGGGATTTTTATTTTTTCTTAAACAAACCAAAAACCACAGAAAATTTTGAAAAAAAAAAGTTTTTTCTTAGTTTTTGTTATACAATTTCGTAAATAAGTGATTTTTCTCCTTCACTGATGGGCACTGACAGGCGGCAGTGATGGGCACTGACAGGCGGCAGTGATGGGCACTGATCAAAGGAGGCACTGGTAGGTTGCACTGATGGGCATTGACAGGCATCACTGATACATGGCACTGACTGGCACTGATGGGTGACATTGAAAGGCAGCTCAGATGGGCACTGATATGTGGCATTGATGTGCACTGGTATGCACTAATATGTGGCACTGATGGGCACTGGCACGTGGCACTTCTGGGGCCACACTGATCATCAGGGCACACTGATCATCAGTGCCCTGATGATCAGTGTATATGTCCCCTCCGCGGAAAGCCGATTACCGGCTCTCCTCTCGAGCTGTCATGCTGACAGCTCGAGAGGAGAGAAATGCCGATAACCGGCATTTCCGTGATTGGACACAGCTGATCACAGGACCAAGCCGACATCTTCGGCTCTTTCTGTGATCAGCGGACCGGCGATCGCCACGCTCCCTGAGCCGCGCATGCGCAGCGAGAATGGTAGGACGTCATATGACGTCCTATCAGGACGAGAGAACCACCTTGCGCCCATCATTGTACTATAGGGCGGGCAGAAGGTGGTTAAACTACCTAAAAAAGAAAATGTTAAAATTTAATACTATATAAAATGTATCATCAAAATATTCACATTCAAAATATTGTGCAACTCAATTCACAAAGAATGTGTCCATAATAATTATTTTTAACTCCAAAAACTCACATTAGTGCTCCAATCAGGACGCTCCACGTTTTCCTCAGGTCTATGCCACTCGTTCAGGTGCAGCCCTCCCACAGTTCGGGGAATCTTCAAAACACTACAAAGAACACACAAGAGGGCGCACACTCCTCATACATTAACGTGGTATAAAATGTATTAATCTAACAGGTAGCAAATGGATACTTACAAACCGCATGATAAGCTCATAACAAAATAGCTTGAGTATAGGATGTCCGGGTCCCTTCCTGGAGCTCACTGGTTGAAAGAGTTGTGTGCAAAACAATATGGTCAAATTTGTACAAAAAAATCACTTTGCATAAAAGTATGATGTCAAACCCCCCCAGTGTCCTTTCACCTCTTCAAGTAAAATGGCTCACCTCTTTCTACACAACTTAAACTACAAATTAAAAAATGTGTTCCTTTTAAAAGGTATCCTATGCCTTACTGTAAAGGGGGAAAAAAAAATCTGAAAACAAATGCAGCTTCCACATCCTAAGAAATGGTAAGCTGCAATGTAGCACATTTTTTGTTGGGGCGGTTTGATAACCATTAATGTGCAACTAGCGGGCAGTGTTGCCAATCCCCCAAAGTAAAATTTAATGACAGGACACCCAAAATTTACCAAATGGCACCAATTTTCTTTTTTGTCCGTTAAAAAAAAAAAAAACAAAAAAACATTTTGTGAAATGTACTAACCTAACCACGTTTTATTGATGTTTCAAAAAAATACATAAAATCGCCGGTTTAAGTGTAAAACGGTGCAAATATCAGTATTTTAGGCTATAAACATATCTAGTGCTATTAGCTATGTGTTTAAGTTATAGGAAAAGTCAAAAACCATATTTCTCTCATGAAGGTCAAGTTAATATAACCCAGCCAGCACAGAGTTCCCCCTTACATCAGAGTCTGCAAGATTCCCCCTTTCAGTGCAAGGGGAACTCTGATGTAAAAGGGAACACTGTGGATCATTATGTAATGGGGAATGCTGCAGACTTTGGTGTAAAGGGGAACTCTGATAAGGTGGGCTCTGATGTAAAGGGGAACTCTGGTGACCAGTCTTCCCTTTTACATCAGAGTTCCCACTTCTAAAAGGGGAGGCAGCATTGACCTTAACAGCACGGTTTTGCAGAGGTTCCCCCTTACACTGTTGGGTAGAATCCTGCAGACTCTAATATAAAGCGTTTCTCTGAGGACACTGATTTTAAGGGGTAAACGCCAGAAATGGGATGTGGGGGGGAATCTGGTGACCACAGAGTAAATACACTTAAGGTAAGGGGGCATTTCAAAAATAAGGAGAAACTTTTGTTTCAGTGTCGTTTTCCCCCCCCCCCCCCCCCCCCTTTCCTTATTGTATTCACTTTCCCTTACATTAGTGACCCCTCCAGACTGGCCTTGCACTGTCACTGACCCCCTCAAGTGCAGGACTCAGTCAGCAGGTCCTCTCTGGGTACCAGCTTGGCAGCTGTGGTTTGGTTCTGTACTCTCTTCCCCACAGTCCACACATGTCTGGTCTGACTCCTCCGATGACCCCCACCTGTCACTGCAGGCAACTAATCATTAGCTGTGGAGGCATGTCTTGCAGTTGCAGGATGTGGAATGCCTTGTGTCTCCAGTGACTGCTTCCTGGCAGGATAGCTCTGGTGGGTTTGGGTTTGTGTCTGGACAATGTTTGAGCCCATCCCTGCTCTGATAAGGCCTTGTAGATATTTGAGTTCAGTAAAGGTTGGATGATGATTTTACCAGATGTCCATTGAGCTTTAACCTGAATTAGGATTACTATTTGGCTTCAAGGTGAGCATCTAGCCAAGTTTATTGAATTCTTAAATAAAATTAATTCAGTTTGCCAGTGTTTCTCTTTCAAACTATTGAGCTCATTATTATTTTGCCTAATGCATGCTTGATGTTGCCTGTAGATCAGTGGATGATTAAACTCGGTACACACCATCAGTTTTTATTTTATTTTTTTTTTTTGCAAACCAGTGGCTGAATGAAAAAACACTGAAGAGCTTCGGAGGAGCGCTCTGTACTATGTGTCCGATGTCAGTACAGCGATCTCCCTGCTGAGTTATTGTCTTCTGACAGGGGGATTGGCCCACTGCCAAAACACACTGGTGAGCTCTGGCAGTCATTGGCTGCTAGCACTGATTGGATGGCAATCGGATGCTGGTTTTCTAGTATGCCCGTTAGGCCGGCTTCTGTCGGACAGGCGGGTGTACACACAGGCCTAAAATTGGCCGTTTTCTATTGAACCGGCCGATATTTGGCATGTTTGAATACATGTCTAAAGCCCTGTACATGCGCTCAATCTGACCACCATCTGGGCAACAAATATTGAAGAGCAGATGAGCAATTCAAACAGGTGCTACTGCCACCACTTGATGTGGCAGTGGGTAAGGACATTGGTGACTGTTTTTCTATTTTAAGATCCAAACTTTTTTTGTCTTTAAAATATCAAAGCAATTACAATCTCCTACTCTGTCATACAGCCATTAAGTTATCAAGTGAATTCACTGTAAGTATACAGGGGAATATAATTGTATTTTGTGGATACAACAATGTTTGCTAGTAAAAACCAGTATCAAACTTAGAATATTGGCAAGCGTGTTACATATAGCATTGCCCAAAGTGCCCAAAGTGGAGATCTTGCATTCGATTTATTCCTGGTAGATCGCTTAGTTGGATGTGTGTCTTGTGCTGTAGATCCCTCCTGATTGCTATGGCAGATCACCTTGGACTTGTACAGTGAACAGGTTGATGGATCCCCTCCTGGATACTAACGTTGGCTCAGCTGTGACTTTTCCTCCTGAAGGTGACTTTTATTGTCCAAACCCCCTATGACTACGTGCCTTCGCACGAAACGCGTCAAGGAGCGGCTACAGCGGTGTGACGTCACGCCGACCGGCGCCACGAGGGCCCCGGCGGCCATTTATGAAATCAATGTATGACGGGAGCCATTTACGTCTGCAGAGCGGCCTTTTTCATCCATGTGTGGCAACACTATCAAGTGGCGAGGGGCTTTTTGACCAGATCTGACCAGATCCATATGAGGACCCTAGGATTATCTGGAAATATTTGTTCTGAATGCGCATTTGGATTGCGTATCTGGTGAGTGCGCAATCTTTATACCTTTATCACCCCACCTATGAATCCAGCCATTGGGGTTCTTTGAAGACTCTCTTGGGTTTTGGATCACGTTATGGACTTTACTTATCATCTGTAGTCACTTTTTTATGCACTTTATAAGCACCTTAACATTGGTTTATATGTATGTGTATATATTAAGTTAGCGCTGCACCTCCCCCCTTTTTTCTGATTATCCTGGAGGTTCATACGGTACCTTTTTTGGTGTTCAGCTGCTACTGTCTCATTTTCATTCTATTTCATTTTATTAATTTTATAATCTAATTTAAGCGCTCACTTACCCTGAGATTTACTATTGCCCAAAGTGCGTTTGTCTTTAAATATAACCAAGCAATCCACATATACATAGGAAAAATTCCACCAAATTGAAAAAAGTGTCTAAAAGTGATGATCAAATCAATGGTAAATAATCGGCATGCTAAGATCTCTCTCTTGCTGATTGAGGCCTAGGAAATAATGAAGGCAGAACAGTGTCCTGATTTAGATGAAAACGAGAAACCACTTTTGTTAAAAAAGGACAGTTGAGGTTGCAACACTACCATATCCTTATGCAAAACCAGAAAATGTTCCTTACAAGAAAGGGCCGCCAGCTCTGACACCCTTCTTGCCACAGCGATTGCCACTAGAAACAAAATCTTCTGAGTCAACAACAGGACTAGTGGAATCTCCATAATAGGTCAAATGGTGAGTTCTGCAAAACCTCCAAGACCAAGTTCACATCCCATGGACGTAAAGGTAGCCTGGCAAGCAGAGCTTATATGCATTACTACTTGCAGAAAGGTATGAACTAGAGAGTGAGACGTAATGGGCCTTTGGCCAATGCTGAAACATGGCCCTTAATAGTACCAACAGCCAAATTCTTTTCCAAACCTGATTGAAAAAAATGACAGGATCCTACCAATCACATATTTCCCTAGATGCCATCTCCGGAACTCACACCAGGAAATGTAAGCCTTCCAAGTTCTGTAATAAATATTCCTAGAAAATACCTTTTCTAGCACTCAACATAACTGGGATGACGGAATCCGATACTCCCCTATCCGTCAGCATCTGGGTCTCAAAAGCCATTCCGACTGTAAAGCTGGGTGCAATATAAGTGCTTGAGACCGCAGGTCTGGCTGATACGGCAGAGACCACAGCCAGTCTACTGCCAGCTTCACTATGTCCATGTACCAGGCCGAGGAAACCAGTATCACCGTAATAGACTCCTCCATAATCCTATGTAAGAGACGTGACAGTAGCTGAATTGAAGGAAAAGCATGAATTAGGGAAAACTGGTTCCAAGGAATCACGATGGCATCTACTCCTGCCGCGTAAGGGTTCCTTACCCTGCACATGAAAAAGGCCGACCTTGTTGTTGAACCTGGATGCCAATAGATCTATGTCTGGGCAACCCGATCGCTGGCAGATTGCCATGAAAACCTTGGGATGCAAAGCCTACTCCCCCGAAATCAACTGTCAGCGACCGTGATGATTCGCCAGCCAATTCTCTACCCCCCTGAGTGAACGCCGCTTACTAACTTGGAAC